GCCATTGCTATTAGGTTGGAGGCCACCGCTATGAGGTTGGAGGCCATTGCTATTCGGTCGTCGCTATTAGGTTGGAGGCCATTGCTATTGGGTTGGAGGCGATCTCATGGATGATCACCCTCCAGTGTGCTGGCAGTCGACTCGCGGGTCGCACAGGGCCTGCCTGCAGCGAACCCACCGGGACAGGGCTCGCGCACTCCGAAGCTGCCGAAACTGCCAGGGGCACCGAGCGGCTGACTGAACCGAGTGATGAAAGTGAGAGGTTGTACTGTGGTGAGTGATTTTGAAGCAGGCCTTGCTGCTTGTGTGTGTTTTTTTTTGTTGGTTTTAGATCGTTTGTTTCTTTTAGCACGATATGAAGTTGGGTGAGTCATTGGATGATTTCTTCTGCAGGTGTACTGTGAATCCTTGGAGGCAGGTATTAAACAGGGTTTCAATGTGCCCTGAATGAGAAAGATAACAAACAATGTCCAGGAATCCTCGAGAAGGTTGGTGCTGCAGATTTCCCTGGTGAAACAAATCTGCAGAAGAGTTTGGCGGAGATCCAAACACCTCTAGGTTGACTGGTTTGAATCATAAGATTCATCAGGTACATGTGACACCGTGGTTTCTGGTTGGCCAAAAGACATCAAAAGATCGACCAACCTGTTGAACAGCCAGGATCTTAGCTGCCTGGTTACTTACGTTTTGTGCGTTCGAACCGTGCGTTTTTTAAACTCACGTTTCGTGTCTTACATTCCCACGTTTTGGAGCTCAGGTGCGTTTTTGGAACTTCCTCATGCATCAACAGAAGAAAACCATCGGACACAGAAACGTCCCAATTTCAGCCAGAATATCATATCCAGTAGCACCCCATAGCCCCATAACTTGGACACCAACAAATCCCAAATCCATTTCCAAGAGTGAGAGAAAAGCATCCAGCAGCCAGCAGTACCCCATAGTGTTTTTTTTTGTGGTTCGAAAGACAACAACATTTCTGCAAAGCGGACCTCCAGACCACACAGATGCATTTAGCCGAGGACTGTAAATGCTTATAGGTATTTGGATGAGGTCTGATTACGTTTTGGACTACACGTGCGGAATCGATGTTTTACGTGTTGCGTACCGGGGTGCCTAAGGCCAGACAGGATTCCATGTGATTTGCTCCCGAGAAGTACTGATGGAAAACACACACAGACATCCCTTGCCCCAAAAAACCGGCCAAGCGACTGGTGCTTGGAATTCGCCCCCGCTGAGGCCTGCACTGCAGGAGAAGCAAGAGGGCTTTGAGGTTGGAGCCGGAGGATGAAAGTGGGTTTGCCATTCAAATTCCCAAAGGTTTGGTCAATGGAAGACTGAGAGGTGGCTTCAGATATTTTGAATTGTAATAGATTCATGTTCAACCCTTACTTGGGATGATTGATGCCTTTGACTCATATATGTGTCGAAGTCTGAAGTGAGTTGAAACCACATTGAAACCACAAACCAGATGATGTAAATCCACAGTTTTGGAGGGATCCCCGTACATCCATCGGACCTTCAATGAGTATGATGCAACTCAACAGATCAGTGAACCCGCATGTAAAAAGTCAAAGGCACACAACTGACTGGTGCTTTGTAAGGAACGAGGGAATGGGTTCTAACGTATCTATATATAGGGGAGGGGTCATTCCCATAAATTCCGGACGAGTCACACGAGTCAGACAATGCCGATTCGAAGTCTGAACAAAGGAAAACCCGCGTCCAAGATCAACGAGCAGAGTCTCATCCTTGACCATCACCAACTTGTATTTCACCAGAATACCTACGCCGGTGGATAACCTTTAGCCTCTTTTGGGGATTGGTTTCCTAAATTAGATGAAATGTTCGTTTAACCAATATGGTATACTCACCAGTATGTTATACTTGTGTTTCAATCCAATATGGCCCAGTTGCCAGTTTTGGATTCATTGCCCAACCATAGATTCGTATTTCACCAGTTCTCGATCTTTGGAACACCCAAACGGTCCCAAACGCCACAAGCTGCAGCTGCACAAGCTGCCGCCGAATTCGGTCTCCGCTTCGCTCGAAGCGCTCGGGTCGTTCAAGCGTGTATAGCGAGTTCGAGCGACACATCGGTGAACCAAGGCAGGTCTCCTGGTGCTTAGGCAGGTCTCATGATCCCATGGCCCATATAAGTTGGTGGTCAAAACATCCCCACGAACGAGGCTGGAAGAGGTACCCACATGTAGATACACCCACTAACTGGGTCTCTCCCACTTTGTGCGGCTTGTAGCATGATGTCCAGACCCCAACTACCATCAGTTTTGGTTTCAAAATCAGGTGCGATGCGTTTGTATTGTCCTTTGCGATTCACCTTTTGTGGGATTCCTCGTTTAGACCCACGTTCAGTGGATATATGCATGCAGTAATATATATATATTATATTGATACAACACCCAACGTCTCCAAGAGAAATCCTCAGATGAACCTGTTTGTACTTTGCTTCCTGAAGAAAGAACAATGGTTTCTAGACTTGTGAGATGTCACCTCTGGACAACATTAATTTACTAAACCAAACCCACAACACCCTCTGATTTGTTGTTGGGGAGTGTTTTTTCCTACGGATGAAGCAAAGTCATATGTGTCCTTCTCTCCCGAAGGCCTGTGACTTGTTTGCATGGCAAGAAGTGATAAGAAGTGCAAAGATCTTCTTCTTTGCTAGTTGCTACCAAACTGCTGATGAACAAGATACAACCCTCTTGCACTCCGCATTCTACTCATCGCAGACGAAATGGTTTCGTTACAGAGTAAGTGAAATGGGTGAGCGCGCTCACCCACTCCTATCTCATCACCGGGTAGAATGTTAATCAGGTTCAAGGTTCATCTTCGAGGAAAGCTGTAGTTTTCATCCTCCAGGTTTTTATCTCGTCACCAAGTTGAATTTGTTGGGAACCCTTTAGTCAGTTTCCGAACCACAAGCCGCTGCGCCACTTTTCTGCCCCACTTGATAAGCATGATGAGGTCCTTAGAGCCAAAAGTTCTGAATTCAACTACGTTTAACTATAGGATTAGTACAAACCGCTTAGTATTGAAGGAGAACCTGTCACACATTCCAACGCTTCCACGGCCTCTGCCGCCACCAGGCTTCCACGGCCTCTGCGGCCTTCGGCACTGAGCCCTTGGTCTTAGGCCTCAAAGGCCGTGGCAGTGCGCCGTCCGCGCGGTCGGCTGGTGGCCACGGTACTTGAGGGGCAGAGATGGAGAAAGAGGTAGAAGGTAGAGCGGGAGTGTTCGTTTCTTGCGGATGTTGAGGTACTCTTTAAAGAGATAGAGAGACTTGATGAGATTTGGATTTGTTTCTGTAGATCCTATGTAACTCCATGTAACTCCTGATTTTTGATGTTGCAAGTCTCCAACACATTACATTGGTCGAATCAAAATGGTATGAGACCCTCTCCATTTCCTCGCGGAAAGTCGCGTGGAAAGAGTCTATACTCATTCGGACTTCACTATGATGGTCATCTTCAGGATCAGTTGTCTTACCTCTTGCAATTGTTCCCTCTACTATTCCCCACTAATTAAGGCTGAAGCTAACCAAGCAATGCAAGTGTCTTTGTGGGTTCAAGGCAGCCTTTTGCCCCTTTGCAAGGGCTGAGTGAAAAAGAATCCGCCAACAGCTTTAGCAGCTCTTGCACAAGACATCACAAGACCATAGGCTTGCACCGCTTTGAATCATTAAGAAAGTTTACTCCATGTGCAGAGCTCCACCAGTCGTTGCCTCAAGCCCACTCAGCCGGTGCCAACTCGACTTCTGTCGTGTCAGGCTATTTTTTCTTCAGGACTCGCGCACGATGAGTTGTGGATCACACAGACACATGCAACAAAAATATTTTTGTTGTTGTTGTTGTTAAACCTGATTTCAACATTTGTTTGCTGCTTTACCGAGTATAAGTTGTTTCTTTTCTCTACCGAGTCAAGCTCAAGAGACGTCGAACTCTGGCGCTTCGTGTTGAATTTCGCAAGACCTTTGCAGGCTCCGAAGTTGTGCAGTGCCTTCAACCAGCAACAGGTCCCCAGAACCTCGGACCTCGTCACCCACCTGCTACGTGTTGCTTCGGTCCTTGCCACCCTACCGGGCAGATCCGGGTCCACCGGGCTCCTGTGATCCACTGCTGCGTTTGGTTGGATGCCTTGGATGTTTGGATGTGGCAGATCCCAAAGGCAGGTGACAGCCATGGCCTAGGCCTAAGGTTCTTGGGGTGACATTATTGGAACATTTGGTATGAGAAACACGGAAGCTTGGGTCCACCTCATCGTGCGGTCCAGTCCTAATCGACGACGGCGAAGCCGCCGTTGCTCGTATACGCGCTGGGACTGGAGGAGGATAGAAAGCACAGCTTGTAAAAGTGGTTTGCAAGTTTGGTTGCATGCAAGTGAACTACATTGTCTCATGGAACCACATGTAACATCTATAACCTGACATCTTCTGGCATTTGAACTATTCAGCATCAAATTCTCAAAGACACGACCTGAACCCGATTGCAAGTACCCTAGAAGATGGGACACGACCCTGGTCCTTGCCCATTTTCTGAGGTACGAGTTCCGGGTCGACTCCAGGGTTTCTTGAAGCATGCACGTCCTTGGACTCTTTGTTGCTCCGTTCCTTGTGTCATCCAGTCTCAGCTTCATGTCGGATCCGTCTCGTCGAGCACTCTGGAGCACGGCACGGACACTCGCGAGCCCTTTTCTCCCACACGGATTGGGGTTAATATGGGTTAGTGAAGCTGCAGCCCATCGGGGATCGGACTCGGATCCTGGTAGCATGACATGCAGGGCTCGAGCTCCAGGAATGGAATGACCGGGTTTTAGGGGTGAAGACGATAGTTTTCGACATTGACCTGGGTACCTTTTGTAGCGCATGACCATATATGCATTATAAAACTAGATCAGATCCACTTGAGTTTCAGCATGCAAGAGAATCAGTGAGACCATGTTGAACGGATTCCCTTCAACGGTGCTTTTAGTGGATGTGTCTGACTCGAGTCATTGAAGAGTAGACTGACTATACATGGTTATATATATATATTATATTTATAAGTCTTTTTAAGGAGCACCTTGACTTTACAAAATGGATCATCCGATCCGATCGTTTGATTATTCTTGTGCCATTTGATCCTAATCTGGCGCTTGATACGGTGTTGATGGATGTTTCTGCCTTAACAAGTGCAACACCAGGACGGCCCCTCAATCCGTTGGGCGCTTGGCGCCCGAGTTGATCTGTCCCGGGAGCACCCTGAAAAGCGGGGCGCGCGCAAAACCGGGCGACTGTACAAAACGGCGTGCCGTGAGAAAAGATCCCTTTGAACCGGGGGACGCCGACCTGGGGGAGGATGGAAGATGTTGTGGGAAGTGGGGGTTTCCGGGTTTCTCTGTGAACCGCCCGCAGGGTTGGATTCTCAGCGTTCTTAGGGTAATGTCAATTCCCACACACTCTATGGGACTGGAATGTGTATGCTAGATGGTGAACCGGTGTGTTTCTTTGAACTTCTCAGTCGACCAGACCGAGGGCCCAAGGGAGCCGGAGGGAGACCGAGTCCCCCCTGGTGAACCCTTCCTGACTGGACCCGTTGGGGGGTCCGTGGCAAGGGTGACTCACCCAGAGAAACCCAGGGCGAGGCTTTTCTGAGAAACCGGATCCCGGGCGCCGGTCGAAGCGGACTGAACGTTCCGTAGAAACTGGGTCCTTTGTTACTGATCTTGACCCTTTATTGGTCACGTCCCATGTTCTATTATTATTATAGACTTAAAGTCGGGTCCAGGTTGCTATACCGGCGATTTGTGGCAGTTGATGGCGTGGCTCGCTTGATGCGGCGTTGTTCGGTGCATCGCTTCGACGTCGTCTTGCTCCATTGGGTCCACTGGATCGCCATTTGCATCAATTATATAGGATGTCGACCTTGTTGGCATGGATGCCGATGTTTTTGAGGTTTGGAAATCGGAGATGTCTACTAGGGTCTGCCATGAAATATAGCGAATATGTCTGACACTTACGCTCCATAGGGTGTGGGATCAATTCTCAGAGGGTCTTGGACATTTCCAGGCCAACGACTTCAGCCGTTGGCTCAATCCCACCGGTCCAACGCTGCGGAGCTCGCGCGCTCGCGGAAGTACCCGCCGCTGGGTGAATGGTGGGTCAGCGGGTGCTTGTGCAGTTGAGCGGGGAAAATGCATAGAACTATAGAAGGCACCAGTGCGTCAAGTAGAAACTAGGCAGTGGAAAACTTGAAGTGATGAACCGGACATTCATCAGGTTTTTGAGTCTTCTGAACTCAGGCAAGGCCGTCTTTCAAACTCGTTTACTCACCCATAGTCTTTCTGAAAGGACGACCGGTAGTGTGGCACATTTCTTTAGCGTCGACGCATCTCCGACCCGGACCTGCAACCCTTGCGACCGGGATCTGTAGTGATGAGGTCGTACTTTCGAGGTCCAATGTCTCAGGTCGACCATCCACTCCCCTGGAACTCGGAAAACAACTGTTTGGTCGACTCGGATGGTCTTGGTCTTCACCTACGGGGCCTGGCAGGCATTGTTTGCCCACGTAAGAACCATGTGACCGGTTCATCGAGTCGACCCGGTTTGCTTTGCAAGAAATGAGTACCAGCACCTAGCTGGAACATGTACCAGCACCTTCATGGTAACATGGTTCCTTTTCCATGGTGACATGTACCAGCACCTTCATCAAGGGGTCACCTGTCTGCTTTCGCCCCAGCCCACTACACCACTAGCTAAGGGACCTCCAGGTCCAGGGACACCCCTACACCAGGTCCAGGTATACAAACTATACTACATATTCTACCAAGAGAGGTAGCCAGTGACCTGAACTAGGACCATAACCTGGGGCACCCATGGGATAGTCTATAATATATAATAAGTTTCTTCAACCTCTGTTGGTATTTGCTTTTTGTTCATGGGGCCATGTCCCATGTTCTTATATGTTCTTTATGGTACGAAAGAAGTCGGTTCTCCAGGTGGATGAAGACTCAGCCAGAGGTAACCAGTCTGCACAGGTCACCAAGTTATTGGTCATGTCCCGCTCAAAAGATAGGGTTGGTCCAATACCTTAGTGACCTATACCAGGATCTTCCAAGAGGTGTCTATAAATAGCTCTTAGAGGTGAAGAGGTCTCCAACAACCACCGGACTTGGAAGGTCCTGGTAGGCACAGCCAAGTAAACCTAAACTTTATTGGGATGAAGATGAGCGAAGTTACTCAGAGTTCCTGTTTCGATCATGCGCCCTTGTTTGGATCTCATAAGGGTCTCTTGTTTGGAGTCTGGAGCTTGGATCATCCAGAGTGTGCACAGCAAGGGATCCAGACACGGTGACCTTTCAGAATGTAGAGTCGTCAGCCACTACGCTGCTTTTCTACTTACGTAGGAGCCAGGTTCTACCATGACCAGCCTTGCATAGCACTTGGCCATGACGCGCTGTATAGGGTTGCTTCGCACCATCCTTGCCCAGGTGCCAATGAGCCCATAGCCGACGGCGCACGGCCTTGCGCCGTCCATGCGGCTGGGCCTTCCGTTTCGGCCCTTGGGTCGCGTGGGATCCACCTGGACCATAGTCTACCTGGAGACTGACCCAGTACCGAAACGAAAGTAGGTACCCATGTTCCGAGGTACGAACGGGTCGACTCCAGGTATATAGATGTATCCAGTACATATAGTACATAACTAGAGGAGCTGGAAGAGACATGGAAGAGACATAAAATCCGAATACCAAACAGGTGTTGAACTCCACTTCCATCATCATTTCAGGGAGTGTATCATCTTGACTGACACAGAGATTTCTTTGAGCATGGCGGACACTGACGATTGAACATTTTCTGGATCGGTCCAGACTCGACCTGGGACGAAGCAAACCATGCAAACTGGTAGTCTGGTATAGTCCTCCCTGGTTGCTACGGCTTTTGGCAAAGGGACATCCAATGACAAGTACCCTTCCATTTAGCCAGTCAACAGGATAAGACCAGTTGTGAAGAACATAGTCATATAATTGATCTTAATTGACTTGCTGCAGTTGCCTCTGGGCCATCAGACACTTCTAGAGTCGAAGGATTCAAGCAGCCTGCTTTGCCAGATTTCGGACTCGAGTTTGGCTCCTCCCGGGCCACACGAGTCCGACGCGCAGCTCTATCGTTCCAGGGGCTTTCTCGGGCAGCTGCGGCAGCTCTGGGGCGCGGCAAAGGCGGGGGTCCCTGGGCGGTCTCTGTCCGCTCCATGCGACATCCACTGCCCCTGTCCGGGAGAATGAAATTGAAGAGCCCGGTTTCGTGTTTCGGCGACACATGGTGACCCATCAGTGACTCCAGTCAATATGAAAACCAGCAAAGTGTGGGAAAGAGAGTCGATCAGTATACAGATTGCCATTTCTATGCGGTTGGTGACCAAAAATTCCAATATACCTTAGAAAATGGGACATGACCCCTAAGAAACAGGTACTACTACCCATTTTGCAAGGTACTTTGAGACTCCAGGTGTATATTTTGTTTAATTTGTTGCACCGACTTTGAACTGCTCACAGGGTTTGCACTGTTTCCAACATGTTGTTGTCTCCATGTGCAACATGTTCGATTCGGAGGTTACCACCGGTGATTTTACTCTCGCAGAGAAGAGTCGTTCGTGGCGCCAAAAATCAGCGAGGTGTTGGACTGCCCACATGGGCGTGCGCTTCCCGTTTCCACCTGTCTCGTTGTGCTCCTGGCGTGCTCTCTGTCGAACCTCACTTGGAATCATCAACTTTCTAGTTGGACCAAATGGCTAGCATAGTGGCTAGCATCGTCAGCTCATGAGTGCTTGATTGATCTTGATTCCACCATGGTCACCATTCCAACTTACATTGACTCTACCATACAAACCGGAATTTGGTTACGATTTCTACTTTTCAGCAACTACCTGAAGTCTCACTTCGTTCTGTAGAAATTGGCTACAGTACCTGATCATGTCCCATACGGCTCGGGGCGAAGTCGGGTCCAAGTACTTGTTTTCTCTCGCCTTGTTCGAACCCTAGGGCTCCTGGCGCACCTCCTGAGAAGATGGTTGGGGTGGGTGCCAGGGGGGTCTAACAACCGAACCTGAGGATATGGGACAGGAGCCTTAGGGGAAGTTCCAGAAACCAGCATCGTGAGGAGCACGCTCCACCAGATGGCGCAGCGTCCAGCACCTCCTCTCCGCAGAGCGAGGCACGGGACGGTTCGCGGACCGTTCGCGGGCGCAGGGGACGATAGATGGGATGTGTAGTATGTCAATAGGGAGACCCCTGCGCCTATAGCTGGGCAGGTCTATTTCCCTTCTCCGAACCCAGGGGGTCGTCGCCATGCCTGGGAGGTCTCCCTATTTTAACACACACCTATATAGATCATTATAGATCAGTGCGTTTTATTGTATTCACGTATGTTTTGGATGTTTGGAGAGGACTCTTCAGCGGAGTCGACCGATGTGGATCACCGCTGGCTAGAGCCAGCCATCGAGGCAGAGCGACACAAGTCAACGTTGGAATTTCACTGACGGAATTCTTGGGCCCTCCATGATAGGGGTCGGACTCGACACCGAAACGCAGGGGTCCGGACCCGAACCAAAACCGTACGTGTTGCTTCAAGTCCGGATTCCTAGGGTAAGAAGGACGAAGGCTGGCTGTGTGTTTTTTTTTGGGGTGTTGGGTATGCGGTCACAACACACCAATTCATTCCTCAGTGATGAAGGCTTCGTATCGAATGGGAGATGCTGAGTGAGCTGCTCGGTGTGTATCGGCTACCAGTCCTTTTGACCGGAGTGAATCCACTAATTCAACGGTCCTTCCAGGCTTCCAGGTCATATGTCATTGAGTCATTGACTTACTAAAGAGTTTAGTAGTTATTTCACTGAAGACTCGGAACATATCCCAGGTGTAGTTTAGTAGGTGTAGGCCACAGGGAGGGGGACTGACTACCTCAAATCATTGGCATTTCCGGCTCCGGAGCTGAAAAGGGGGATACTTTGGCCAACGCCGATTGAAGTCCGAAGTCCGGTGCCCTCCTTCACATGATGCATAGTTGAAGGTGAGCTGGCTGTACCTGAGTTGTCCCACTATCGCATACTATCGCGCAAGTTCTGACCAAAGTGTTACGTAGAGGTCTTCTCCATGAGAAGTCATGCTCTTCACCCGAACGAAGGTTGTATGCATAGATGTTCCGGTAAAATACAATGCTTCGTGTAGGTGGTGAACTGTCTGAGGCGGTTTCGTTGTTTGCTGGAGCCTGCAGGATGCTTGGGAGGATGCGGAGTGTCAGTGCGACACGGAGGAGGACAGCTGTCGCATGCTATGCTAAGTCGTTTGAGACAACAACAGATTTCTGGGAGATCTCAATTAATCCGATTTTTTGGGCAGACCACATCTTGCTGCTTGGCTTCATCAACAGAAGGTGTTGAATGTGAGGTTCTGCCAGCACTGCAGCAGGGTGCTCCCGCATGACTTTTTGGTGCCTGACAGCTTGCAGGAACTGTCCAAGTGTGGCTCGACTAGATGAGGGCATGAGCGAAATATCCTGCAGATACTTGGGAGCTGACAGGATATGAAAGGATGATATGGTATTCACTAGAAAGTAGAAGGGGTGAACGCTAAAGGGGGTGAGGCTCTTATTGGGAACCCCCCAGGAAAAAGCATGACAAGTCAAGGAGAGCCAGGAACATCATGATTGGTTTTGGTGGGGCCATTTGAACATGGTTTGAAGGATATACTTATATATGGAAAAGGGGGTGTCATGTTTTTGTTGAAGCACCTTTTTCCATACACTTTTAAGAGGTCATTGTGAAAGGGTCTCATGTGTACACTTCCATGTGGCTGTAGGTCAAGCTCGCCCATGTGTCTGAACGCATCCCAATGCCCTTCAACTGGGTCCATGAGAGGACATGAAGGGAACAAAACACCTTCAAAGAGAGCAATTCTTGTGGTAAAGTTGGGTAAGTAGAACCATACCGTATGCTTAAGATCTCAGGTCTGTGTCATTTTACGCACTTTTGTCGGATTTGCCTTTGCAGATGTTTTACACCGTGACCCTTGACACCATAAGACAAGAATCCTTGCTAGACTTACTGACGGTCGACTTGTCCATAACTGGAGACTGCACCTGCCAATGCCGGACCAACAAAACGATCCTGAATGGCCCGAGGTATGCTGACGCATTGAGCCACAAAGACCGCTTCAAACAGTAAAAACGGAAAACTCACTCAAGGTGAGGCTGCGGAACAGTGCGGTGAGGAGTTGTGTCCAACAGCACCTCAAGTCGTGCTTTCCGATCAACGACCCCAAGTTCATGGTCTCGATGGGTCGTTGTTTAGGTCGTTTTCACCCGGACAAGTTGAGAAGAACTGGTTCAACTGAGCATAACAGCTATTGTTTGTTTTTTGTTTTTTTAAACTTAGTATCCAGTCCATGTTTTGCCTTGCAAGTGTCCGGTCAAAGTTTTGCCTTGAAACCATGAGAACCTCCGATGCGCAAGTATGCCTAGGGGCTCCAACCATATCCTCAAAAGGTAGTTGGGGTGGGTTGGGAGGTTGAACTGCCTTTTGAGGATGTGGCCTCAGAATGTGCCCTAGGGGTGCAGGGGGTGTATGTTTCAATTCTGATCGGTGGACCTGAACCACCGGCGACCTCGTCTAACAGCACTTTTTGGAGCAGGACACATGTACGGATGCCCCAAGGTTCCACACCAGGTGTCATACACTCCGTGAGACTGGTATATATGCCGATCAACTGGGGTGGTGCCAGGGGGATCAATTGATCGTCATATATCCCATACATGGAGTGTTGTTTGGTATTGGACTTCATTTGGGACAAGGTGTTCATCCGACCTTGATGTGGCCACATGATTCGCAGGAGGACTGGGATTGGAACCTGGTGGAGCAGGACCTGGAGGCCACGGCCGAATAAGATTGGCAATGGGGATGGGCCGTGACCCACCGAAAGCCCGACCAGTCCACGATGGAGCGAATGACCGACATGACCCACAGCCAAATAAACAATGGTTGGCTTCCATGGATGGGAATTGGGCAGGTAGAAACTCTCAGGATTGCTCTTTGGTAAATCCTGTTGGTATCTATTGGGGATCCGAATCGTCGCCGCTCGGCCAAGTTTGATGGCGAGGTTGAAGGAATGAGCACTTCCGAACTTGGTGTTATTTGGCATATTTTTTTGACGTTGTTTGTTGGAGCGTAAGCCACCTATACTGATCAATTTATATAAGATGAAGTGGTCTCGTTCTTCACTGTAAAGCTGTTCCATGACGACGGTGATGCTGACTTGTTCCTCAGCTCAAGTGATTTACTGGAGCTTTGTTCAACAGCATTGATCATATCTATCACAGGATTTAACTAAACCATAGGATCCGATACTCAAGAGCTGCACATTCAAACATATACACTTTCCCTCACTAACATGGAAGTGGAGTTCACCCCTTGTTTGTAGAGGAAAGTAGTCTTCTTTTAGGACCATGCCATCCACTTCCGTGTGATGTGTTCGTCAGAGTGTATTTCACATGGACTTCGTGCTGCATGTGTCTTTGCCTTGCAGCTGTTTCAGACTGCTACCCTTCATGTTGAGACTGCCAGGAATGGACCAAATCAACTGCCAGGTTCTTCACAGTGTAACCTCTTCACCTTGTTCTTCGTTGCCTTATAGTGAAAGGGCAACAACTTCTGCATGTTGTATTCCTTCTTCAGTTTACCTTAGAAAACGGCCGAAGATCCCTTTTTAAGCCTCCTAAAAGGCTTAGTAGCGGCCTCCTCTGTAGCTGAAGCCTCCCGGCACCTGGCATCCTTTTTGTTGGTGTCTGACCCCGAAACGGAGGGATTGGCCTGGAGCTCTTGGACACTCAAATATCTTGTTCCAGACTTGTTCATCCTAGTCTGGAGACATCCAGGGCATGTGAGTTGTTTTGGGAACTCCCTGCAGGTGGAACTGTGTAACTCCGACATCACCTCTTTTGATAGGAAAAGACCCTGTCTTTGGCTCCAAAAACAGGGTTCACTGAGGCTTTTGGGTGGAAGCAGAAGCAGTCCGCTGCTCCTGCTTTGCCAGGCCTTCTCGGTGCAAGAGACGCCTTCCTCTCCTCACACCACGGAGCCACCAGCTGAGCTTGTTGAGGCGCCAGTACCGAGGGTGTACGTACCGAGGGTATCCGTTTGGGCTCCAGGCTTCGAAGGTGGGACTGGGGGCCGCCAGGACAGGCCAGTCATGCCTTCTGAGGAGGTGCGACTGGAGCCCTAGGGGTTGTTTTGGCTGCACAAATTGGAAAGGATGGGAAAGGGATCAGTCTCGGAAACAATTGCATTTTAGTAGGACATGGAGATGGGTTGTTTGTCTCCTGAGGGAGCATGTTCCGCTTCCAACTTGGTTTCTGGAGGGTAGTAGGGGCAAGTCAAGCACCTATTAGTTAAACCAGAATCCGCTTTGTACACGCCATAGATCGACGATACCCAACAATGCCCGAAAAAGACACCGGTACCTTCAAGATCTTCACAGCTTGTTCCACACAGCTTGGACATGTGCGATTCGACCCAGAGACACCACCAGCTCCATGGAAAGGAGTGGTTTCTTATGGCCCTCCCATGGTGATCACCGGGGTGGTGCCATTCCCAACGGGGTGGATGGCCCTGCGATCAGTTGGGGTGGAGGGGCGGCATATCTGGCTGGCAAGGGCGGCTTGGAAGATCTTTGTTTTTTGTTGGGATAGATCATGCTGGCATGTGCCAGAAACCAATGGGCACCGAGTTTGGAAAAAAGTTGTTCGACACACATCTGCAAGGATTAGAAGGAAACATAAACTTACAGATTTGTAAGGAACTTATATACCATACAATGTGTGTAATTTGGGATGCGGCTCGCCCATTTTTGATGCAGGGTCAATCGGTTTTGAACCAAAGTTTTTGCGATGTTAAGTGATAAGCTGTGCAGCTGAACTTGTGGGGTTTCGAGAGTAGCACGCGTGGTCATAAGTCACAGTTTCAAACCTATTTGTTTGGCATTTGCATGACCACATTTAGAAACAATATATATATATACATATATTATACCTATATATTTACCTGCATTGAGGTTGGTGTCCGGGGTCAATGTAGGTATTCCAGTCCTAGACAGGTCGCCGGTGTCGCATGGGATAGCGACATAGAGCGACAGGTCACCTGCACCGAGCAGCAGCTCGCCGCAGGTCGACTTGCACGAAGCTCTCACCCCGGTAGCTCGCCAGGCGGTAAGAGCCTCCCGGCCGCGAGTTCTGACGGATCGGACGCGGCGAAGAGACGCGGTCTGACGGATCGGGAAGGCTGTGGAAGCTTCATGATCATCATGGTGAACGCAGACAGTTTGGGCCAGTGGCTTTTTTTCCTGAACTTCATACAGTCATACAGAACTCCCATGTTTTTACGGTTTTTTTTGTCAAACTAGGGTAGGGTCTACAGGTATCTATATAGGGACCCCAGAATAAGTCTACCTTAGACCCTACCCTATTTGTATGGACAGGCCTATCATACAATCCAAACTACCGTATCCATACGCTCGCCACTCTCGGCCTTACCCTACCTATATGGATAGGCAGGAGGTTACTTATGGTCAGTGACCCGTGAGATCATAGAACCCATGTTGGACCTCTTGCCAGTTCACCTCCAACAATGTGCATTTTCGAAGCCTAAACTGGCTCCAACGGCCCGTTCACGCATTGTCGGGCTAGCCAGAATTGCTGTCGTGCGCTGCACTCCGTTGGAGGAGTTTGAGAGCAGACTTGACAGGGTCACCAATCTGATTTGCAGCAAAGCTATCCGCGACTTTGAACTTCTTTTTTTGAGGAGCGAGTAGCGATGATTTCGAGGTGGATCTCTTCTGGTAACTTCGACCATATCGCTTCCTTTGTAGAACCTCAGAAATCAGCTGGTCCGGGCTTTGTTCTTGGCAATAAGAAACGAGCCAGTTCAGCGGTGGCTGCTGAGCTAGTGAGGGGCTACGAAGACGGATCCCGACTTCAACGGCTTGGATCTATAGTGAACATTGGTGACCGTTCGAAACCTAAGAGTGTTTTGAATCCCTCGCCCATTATGTTTCCAACTCAAGCTGTGGAGATCTCCAAGGGTAAGCACCTCGACACGCGCATTTTCAGCTACTTTTCCATGCCCGTCGTCACAGTAGCTTGCCCCGAAGCCAACGCCTACGTGGAAACGCTCAACAGGGATCCCGCAAGCCCTTTCCATGTCCGGCAGACCCCCTTCCTTGTTGACTCCGGCGTCTTTATGTTGAAAGTGATGAAAGCAATGGGCTTTGAGATTCAATGCTTCGACGAGGTCTTTAAGGGATCTCGCTGGGATTCAAGCACCTTCCAAAAGTTGGCGGCTGCATTATCCAAGTTGGACGAAGACCAGCTCAATTTCGTTCGGAGCGCCCCCTTCACATGGGCAGACGGTGCCGAGAATGACTCCCACCCACGGCTTGGAACAGCAAAAGCCATGGTTGCAGCCATTCGGACAAAGGTGCCGAGGGAGAAAAGCTTCATCTTGGGTGAAGAGCTATCCGACCTCATGGAAGTGACAGCAAGTGAAGGCTCGTGGAACTTCCAAGAGAGGGTCTTCAAAATTGCTATCGATGAGACTTTGAGAGAAAAGGATTGGATGAAGGCTATGGGCCCCCTCAAGGATGACAAGGTGAAGTCTCAGGGTGGCACATTCAGTAGCAGGATTCCATGATCAAATGGGAATTCGTTACACTTGACTTGGAAGCAAAATGCCATCCTTGTGCAACCGATAGAAAGCCGATATAGCCAAACGAAGTCCACCATCATAGCCGGCAAAAGACCTGAAGCCAGCTTTCGTCGCGCTTGGAAGCCGGAACCCTGAAGATCCTGTAAGCTTTAGAAA